GCTGAAATACATGTAAGTTTGTTTGAATTCATGGTATGTACAATCAAACCATTGTCAATGTAAATATAGTTTCATTTGATCTACTGTTTTTAATCATCTAAAACAAAAAATTTAAAATATCAAATTGCAAAACAGCATAGTTGCATTGTGGATATTAACTATATAATACAATACTTTATAGAAAATAATATTAAAGGTCAGCTCTGTTACACCGTATTTTGTTATTATTGCAATAATAATAAAATTCCTAAAATAACAAAACTAATACATTGTTCACATATAACTGAGTGAACAGCAAGTAGAACTTACCTGACTTGACCTAAGCACTCCTTACGCGAAGCAACCTTTAACTCCCTTTTTTAAAAATCACATTACTTCATTACCAACGGGGATATTGTTAACGTATACATGTAAAAAATTGGTCTACATCTTTGTTTATTACTATGAAAAGATTTGTTTTAATCTACGGAGCCCTGTTGGTCTCACACAGATTATAAAGTGTCATTTAAAGTCCTGCGCTGAAGATGTGTAAAGTCTAGCGCTGGAGATGTAAAGTCTAGCGCTAGAGATGTAAAGTCCAGCGCTGAAGATGTAAAGTCCAGAGCTGAAGATGTAAAGTCTAGCGCTGGTGATGTAAAGTCCAGCGCTGGAGATCTAAAGTCTAGCGCTGGAGATGTAAAGTCAAGCGCTGAAGATGTAAAGTCTAGCGCTGGGGATGTAAAATCTAGCGCTGGAGATGTGTAAAATCTAGCGCTGGAGATATGCAAAGTCTAGCGCTGGAGATGTAAAGTCAAGCGCTGGAGATGTAAAATCAAGCGCTGGAGATGTAAAGTCTAGCGCTGAAGATGTAAAATCAAGCGCTGGAGATGTAAAGTCAAGCGCTGAAGATGTAAAGTCAAGCGCTGAAGATGTAAAGTCTAGCGCTGGAGATGTAAAGTCAAGCGCTGGTCCTCCTTTTTGACAAAATTGTATTCAAAAGAAAACACTAGAAAAGGGAAGCATGAAGATGCTAAAATCTATATACAAACACTTTTCGACAACACTGTACAATTACTTAAAGACACGTATTCAGTGTTTCGAAACAGCGAACTGCATCTAGCTGGCAGTACATGTATGTGCGAACAAACCAAAAATGGCAGACCAGATGAATTCGATTTCATTATTATTCTACCCCAATATTAAAATAGATATATTTTGGCCAGACCGAATGAGGAAATATAAACATATCCGTGAACAGGCCAAAGACTTCAATTTTGGATACCCAGATGCATTTACTAATGAGATCAGATTCGGAATACACGAATAACTACTATCATCGTTGTATGAAAATTTGAATGATGGTTGGAAAATAGTGCTGACGGGTTGCAATTTCTTTACTAGAAAAACTGCTGTAACCTTCCATAAGGTACGTAGCTCAGACTGTTTCGAAGTAGATATGGATGTTACCGCTTTAGTTCCTTTTGAAAAAGCCACACTCTCCCCCACTAACAGATATTTTAAATATTAAACAATACAATATAGATTGGTTAGCTAACGACAAGGGAATTATCTATGATATTTTCAGATATGAAAACCATTCATTTCGATCAAGCAAGGCTCATCTTGAGAAAGTTCTTTTGAAAACAGAGAGCAGACAAAGGGTTTACACTTTAGCAAAACTCATTGTAAAGGCATTTTTACCGACAATGGAGGTTCGTGAACATTGTAAACGATGCAAAGAATCGATAGTTGGCTCATATACACTAAAAAATATACTTTTTTATATGATACACTTTTATCCAGATGATTCGTGTTGGTTAAACAGTCATTTCAGCACACGCGTAATAGAACTCTTTGTTATACTTTTGAGCAAAATACACTTCCAAATGAATGCAAAACGATTTGGGCCAAACGCGGAGATATACACGAGGACTGACATAAAAGACAAAGTGAGGTTTTGCTATGGACATCTTGATGGAGGGATAGATTTTGATCCGTACAAAAGTACACAAGGCAAACGGAAGATCGATCCAAAAGAACCAAAAATTATCCATAATGAAGCAACTCCTCTTTCATGTTTCCTTCCCTCCACAGAAGAATTATTTGATATCATTGACGATGCTTCTTCCGAAGAGAGGTGGAAAAGTAATTTTGTTTTCTACAAAAAGAACCTTGGGATATTAAGGAAGTAACTACCAAACTAGTTCAGTTACTTTTAACAAAGTAAAGTACAAAGAAGAAAAAAATAACGTTTTACATTACATACGATCGTATAGCTAAGTTTTAAATATTTAAAGGACATTTAGGTGTAATACCACCAAATCATAGTACGTCACATCCGGTTGCATACGAAAAAGGGCCGAAAAAAATATTTCCTTGAACTTGGCGGTTGTACGAAATTAATCCTACATTTCATTGCAGTAAAAAATTTCTGAGTCATAAACATATATCTTGGGTGTTTCAAAGCACCATTTTTTTTGGTGATTCTATAGAATATTTTGGAAACTTAAGGTTACATGGTTACTAAAGCTTGTACACAGGAAAAAAAGGGGTGAACATTTGATTGGTTAACTTCCAGTGATGGTTATTTTCTTATATGCGATGAAATGTTATGTGAAATTTTGTCTATAGTACTGGACAGGATAAAACTTTACTCGTGCCAAGTATTTCTTTATTTGAAACAAAGATAAATTTTGAACAATTTTTTGAAAAGTGCAAATATAACAAAGACTAATATGGAAAATCAATGGTGGTATTACATCTTAAGGACACTATAAAGCACTTTCGGAAGAATTTGGAAAAAATCTCACATTAACGGAGAAAATATTTAAAATTTCTGTTATTATTCATTTATCAAGCACTTGTATTTAAAATGTATCCCATCAACAGTATATATTTATGTTATCAGATTGAAGTATAATAATTCTAGAACATCAAACTCTGTCGTTTGTTGCTGTCTATCATATTTGTATTTCGTTTATTATTTTTGCATAAATCAGAACGTTAGGTTTTACGTTTGAAGTGTTTTACATTTGTCATTTCGGGGCCATTCATAGCTGACTTTGCGGTATGGGTTTTGCTCATTGTTGAAGGCCGTACGGTGACCTATGTTTGCTAATTTCTATGTCATTTGGTCTCTGGTGGAGAGTTGTCCCATTGGCAATTATATCACATCTTCTTATTTTCATATCTACGTCACCAACTCGCGGCTTGTTATATTCAATTAGAAAACAAACACACAACTCAAATGGCACCGACAAAACATCGATTATTTGAAAATTGTTATGTTTGAGGAAAAGCAGATGTGATTTTAGTTTGATTTGATGTTTGGTAATTTACACCCATTCAGCACTATTAACTATAACTTGGTGGTCAGTTTTTATTGATGGAAGAATCCGGACTTCCCAAAGAGAACCACTGACCATCGGCATGACAATTGAGAATCCTAGTCAAACAAGATTGGATTATAACGCCCCTGTCACATGCAGTGATTGAAATAACTTTTGTATGTTTTTAAAAGTCGAAGGGATTTTTTCTTCTGTTAATAATGATGCAAATTGGACGCAAGTTCAAACAAAAAATATATAAGTTTACTATTTGTCTCTGTTAATTACAAAAGATGCAAGTATATACAAAAAATACCCGAATTTTCAATTTGAAGGAGCAATTATTTGAATTTAATTGAAGGGAGACACTTATTTGACAGTTTACTTGATTAGGTTGGTATGTGGTAATGACCTATGTTATATATAAAGCAATGCCTCCGGCGCTCACAAAAAATAAAATGGTCAATACCTTAAATTTTCTGTGGAATCTTCAACGAATTGTTAACACAAATTAGAAAAGTGATCTACGAAAAAGTTTAATTGCAACGATACACTTTACACAACAGCAATATATTTGAAGTTTTCAATGTTCAACGCTTCGTTTCAAAAACTCAGACTCAAAGTTCTATACGCTGGAATCAAAAACTTTATCAAAAAAGATTACAAAGTTGAAGTGCATCGAGGTCATAAAATTTCGATTGATAGATTGTTGGTTAATGTCCAGTGACAAATTTTCCATGCATGTTCAAGACGCGAACAAATAAAAAACAAATAGAATAGGTATGTTGTAATAGAGGCCGTCTGGGATGAAGGTCAGGGTAATTGTGACTGCTACTACAAAAGAATTGTTTGTTGGATAGGGACAGTGACTTTGCCTTGCAATATGCCACCTTCAAAACCCTGAAATTGTTGTTGCAAGAGTTCCGAAAGTGCAGAGAGTGGTACTATCTTTACACGAGGGTTTAACGTCGACATTTTGACCGGACGTGGCTGCGTACTTGTATATCCGGCACAGCCAAACCGACGCCTTCTTTGGTAAGAAAGTGACTATATTTTTATTCCTCTCTCACCTTGGGCAAAATATTTCTACATATTGTGCCTAATACTGCTAAGGTAATATATTCCTGGTAGAAAAATCCTTCGCATTTCGCACAACATATTTTAATGTTTCTTACGAAACTTTTAGAGAAGAATTTTGCGTGACAGGATATTATCAATATATCTGAAAGTGAAATAACGAAATAAAGAAAATAGCTTTTTTTCTTCTTTGAAAAGGTTTTGATTGAAATCCACTTAATATGAGTAAAAAAAGGTCGGTGCATAGGGATTCATAATACGTTCATATTTGAATGCCTTCTGTAGAAATCACAAATCTCAACAAATATAAATAACCGGGTATTTGTCAAAAGATCTAAAGTTATGAATCATGATAATTTGTTTTATCTTATTTTCCTTTTGTATTTAATGTTAAAGATGATAATTAAACGTTTGTGATTTATTATAATTATACATTTCATTCATGGCATATTATTTACAATTTAAATGGAAAGGTTTGGCACTAATAAGTACAATGTATACTATATTACTCTAAATAGTAACATGTGTGTTATAAATAAAATACAATATATCACATTTCACTAACACGCAATCCTTATATACAAATGATATCAAAAAAAGGTCCAGTCATATTAACCAAATTTGCTTGTCAACATGACCATGTTCTTTTGTTTGTGTGTTAGTAGTATAGCAGTGACTGTTTTATGTTATCAAGAGGAAAACATCAGAGGTAATATAGAATATCATCTTTATTATTGATCATTGGGCTTATATTGTTTGTGTAAACAAATTATTTACAATTATAAACTAGATGGATCGATACCACTGCTTATGGACTTTCAGTCCTTCAAGGTACCATCAGCTGAGAAGTAGATTTTTATGTATTTGCAAGAAAAGAGAGGCGAATGATACTAAAGGGACATTCAAACTCACAAGTCGAAAAAAAACTAAAAACGTCATGGCAAAAGAAGGGAAGGGACCAACAGACAAACAATAGTATACAAAATACAACTTAGAAAACTGAAGACTGAGCGACACGAACCCCATCAAAAACCGAGGTTGATCTCAGGTGCTCCAAAAGGGTAAGCAGCTTCTGCTTTACATGTGTTAAATTATGCTTTTTATGTGTAAATGCCTAGTTTATGGATCATGTAAAGGAAGATGCGAATCATAACAAGAAAACGACAAAAAATTAACGAGTTGAAGAAAAACAGGGAAAAAACATGTCCGAAAATAAAAACAACGGGAAACCAAAAACAAATTATGAATCACTACACAGAAAACTAAAGAGTAAGAAGCACGAACCCTTTCAAAAACTGGAGATTTTGGTAAGCATATCTTACGCTTCAAATGGAAATCGTCTTGTTGCTCATTGCAAGTACAAATTAGATGTCATAATCGAAGAAAAAAGGACGGAAATGAGCTTCCGACAATTAAAACATATCCGCGGTCAACTGTGAATCAGATATTCAATTACGATCAATGAAATCATGATGGCGTCAGTAAAACGTTCGAAGAGATGATTTTTAACTGAACACTTGTTTCAATGGCTTCTCTGTAAGCAGCGACGCTCTATAAATGAAAGGTCTAGAACATTTTGGGTTATACAATTTTTACATGCAGAGATGGATTGAATATTTTGTCGTTATGTTCTTGATCAACCAATACTTTCAATTTCTAATTGTATGTCATGATTTGAAATAGACTTAACTGTCTTAACTTTCCAGTAAGGGGGAAATAGTTGGATAAAATTTAATATCAAGACAACTGGAATAATCGGGACAGAATGTGTTTATTACTTGTTTCTCTATACTATATATCATCTCGCTTCAGATTATATTTTTATATGTTTTAATGCTGAATGGTAATTCCGTTTATAACATAAGATTCCGACTCTTTTTACTCGTATTTTGTTTTACTATGATGTTGAAATAACTTTGATAAATTAAAATTTTAGGATTGCGAGAAAAACAATTTTCAGAAAACGATAGAAAAATAGATGAAATACTGTATATTTTGCAAGGTAGGATGTTTTATAATTCTTTCCGTTCATTATACAGATTATTTTACGCGGACTGAACTTACTCCTGTTCATGTTCACCTACTGTATTAAAAAACTTCGGTCTTCGAAAGATTCCAAAAAAAAGTCTCACGCAGTCGTGTACCTAAAGAGATTTTTGCTAACTTGTACATCTAACTTTCTTAACATTTTCAAATAATCATTTGAACCGTATGTGCTATAAAATCACGTTTAGTAAAATTGCTGCTGAAGCACAACGTCATTGACAAATTTGATGGTAAATTTATGAGAAGTTTTTCGAAACAATAATGAAATGGTATTAGTAAGGTTAAATATGCAAATTGAAAAATTAAATGAAATTTTTGTCATTTCATATTTTGTAAAACGGGTTGTAAAAACAAAAAGAATTAAAAGTAATCTTCTTTTCATTCTTTACTTGACGTTATGATTAAAGTTTTGTTAAAACGCTTGGATGCTTTTTAGGTGAATGCACGCATAACTCGGAAAAAAGCTTGAAAGGGATGCTAATAGATACCCAAGCTATCATAAACAGTAAGTTACAGCTGTGAAGTTGAATATAGAGGTAGAAACCTCGAGGATGTCGTGGCGTTTTCGTTACCAATATTGAAAATAAACACAGTGGATCTCTCAAACCATTATGTCTTAGGTAATAAACAGTTCAATCAAAATAGGGTTTTATAGTTAAGATACGTGAGCGATGAAAGCAATGTTTTGGAGGGATAACGATATATCGATATGTAGCTAGAAAGACGTGTAAGACAGATATAACAAAATATATAACCTATAATAACATGTATTTAAGATTTCATATTTTAAAAATAATAAATAAATGAAGAAAAGGTTTTAAGACATTAGTAAGTGAAATTTACTAGCAGTCATCAATAAAAGTTGGGGGATTTCAGTATTAATTAATTTGACTGAAAAATGAATCCAATTAAAATAGACACTGTTTATTTAGATATCGGAGTTTATAATGAAGTTGTGAAAAAGAAAAAAGAACTGAGAAATAAAATCAAGCTGCTTGTTGAAGGTAAGATTTCTAACTACTAGTAATCTCTAAATGAAAGAAATTACCTCTAAATTGTACTTACTAGTTTGTGAATAACAGAAATAATCTGTAAATATAAGAAATAATCCGTAAATACAAGAACTTTATTTTTTATCACTGTGAATGTGAATAATAAGAGATGTGGGGGTACAGGTTTCGATATTTCAATCTCGATATGATCTTGATTGTAAAATTTGAGATTCATTTTAAAAGAAAAAGATCGAAGATCTTTTAATAACACTTGAATTAAAAAAACATTAGCATTAGATATATGACAACTACTAACTCTTATGTTTCCTATCATGATTTCCTTGATAGAGGATTGCTGCTCACAAGGAAGCTATTAAACCAAGAGTTCCAAATGGTTAAGTTGAAGTCATCCCTTCGTAAATTTTACGGACGCCATCACGAGTTGGTTGACCGTTATGGAATAACCGTTTCACAGATGATATCGGATATGTTCCTTATGTCGTAACTACAATACCCTCCCTTTTCACGAATGTGACTTACCGAATTAGACTATTTACCGGATTTGTAATAACATAAGCAACACGACGGGTGCCACATGTGGAGCAGGATCTGCTTACCCTTCCGGAGCACCTGAGATCACCCCCGGTTTTTGGTGGGGTTCGTGTTGCTTAGTCTTTGGTTTTCATGTTGTGTCATCTGTACTATTATTTGTCTGTTTGTCTTTTAATTTTCGGCCATGGCGTTGTCAGTTTGTTTTCGATCTATGAGTTTGACTGTCCCTCTGGTATCTTTCGTCCCTCTTTTTCTTCTCCTTTTTTTTAAATATCGATCAGTAAATTAACAAAACGTCCATAAGAGGCATCAAATAAAAACACAAAAAAAAAACAGTGCAATAAAACCTCTTAACAAAAAAGTAACGGTTTATTAAATAACAAAACATCTGGATAAATAACAAACGAATGCTCGCAGTGACTGAAGGCAACCTCAAAAGTATTTATCCTGTTGATTTTATATTTAAATTTCAGTGATGAGTTTTCTGTAGGCGAAACGCGCGTCTGGCGTACACAATTTTATCCTGGTAAATATGATGAGTTAATTTACTGAAAGCAACCTACTGCTGATTTTATATTCTAATTCATATTGATATAAACATTGTTTGTCTTTTTCACTACTGTTATCTAAGGTCCTAAAATATTCACTTACTCATATGTTTTGTATTTCAGAATCAAAAGGACAAAACTACATATCGAGAATAGTAAAACTTTTAAAGAGAAATGCAGGAAGTAAGTTTGTATGGAATCTTCTTGCACTGTTCATGAAGTAACTGTGTAAAAAAATCAACAGTACTACCACCGACATCACCAAGGTTGTATAGTTTGTTATAACAGCAATTTAATTGATTTGCGCTTCTTCTTATTTATTTGTATGACCTCAAAATATTTAAAATTGAATGAAATACTTGTAACGTATGTAAAGTAATCGTTCAAAATAAAATACTGATCCCAGGCCACTTAAGGATTTCGAGATATTTAAAGCTTATTATAATTTTTTTGTTAATTTTGTTTTGTTTCTTAAGAACAAGCACGTATTATTTGTCTGTTGTACAATATACACAGATAATAGAAATAAACCGTCAAAAGATAAGGTTTTATTAATTGTAACTTTCACTTCACATGTATTCACAAATTATATGTTTACTTCAGGCACTTGTGAGTCTCAAAGAGTTATAGACTGCAGTGCTTTCAAAGGTCAACATAAAAAAAGTGGAGTATACACCATATTTCCACAAAAATCAAAATCCGACAAACTTGAGGTTTACTGTGATATGAAAACCGATGGAGGAGGCTGGACGGTATGTCTATCAACTTATTTTACTGGGTGCACTAAAAGTTTCATTCCTTTTTTAACTTATATAATCACAATTCATGAACAATACAAATATACTGAAACTTGGGTTGCAACGCCTTCATTTACATTTACTCAACTTTCATTATATTACTTATGGAAAGTATATAAGTTCCAAATAAAAACTATTATATTTATTATATTTGTAAATGAAATATATTAAAGAGGTAACAGTAGTTTATCGACGTTCCGATACCGTAATTTCAATTTTTTTAAATATACAAATCGAGAAATGAAAAAACCAAGGGAATCGCATTCACTTCAAACCGATGGAGGCGCGTAAGAATAACATCAAGTAAACTTAGAATTACTTTAGCTAAATGTCAGTCTTCTATGATTAACATTAATGTACCTAGTCCAAATAAATATGAAGTCTTAAAACGCTATCTTAATTGTTTGCTATAATTCCTAAATATTTTGATATTCTGTCATTTTTCGAAGGTAATTCAAAGAAGAATTGATGGAAAGATTGACTTTGAAAGGAATTGGAAAGATTATGAAGATGGATTTGGCGACGTTCGAAGGGAACATTGGTTGGGTAAAGTATTTTTGTTCTATCAATCTAATTGGAGTCCAGCAGTATTTCGGACGTTTGTCATAACTTTTATACCTTACAGAATCTCTTTTTATTATTATCAATGACAAGTTATACAAGTATGCTTTATTTTGTAATGTCCTCTGTGTTTTGGGGTTTGTTTGTTTTGTTTGTTTTGTTGTTTTGGTTTTGTTTTTTTTTTTGGGGGGGGGGAGGGTATACATAAAAAATACGGAAATTTGGTAAATAAGTAAACCGCTGTTCAAAAGCCATCAATCGAATAAGAGAAAACATATCCGGGTTACAAACTAAAACTGAGGGAAACACATCAACTATAATGGAAAACAACGGAACAACAGAAGTACTTAACTGCAACAAAAACAAACGCCGACATACATAGAAACGGACTATTTGATAACAGCTGCCATATTCCTGACTTGGTACAGGACATTTTTAGAAAAAATGGTGGGTAACATTGCCAACGAAACAATAAAATCCATTTAAGGCAAAAAAAAAGACAAGTAAAGGCTATCGTACAGCCTTGAACAATGACCAGAATCTATACCGTGTATCAAGTTTGTGAGTACTCTGGATGAAAACGTGTGAAACAATTGAAAAAACAACACTTAGTCTAATAACTTTATTTTTACTATACCAATAAAGGCGAAACATGACAGACAGGAACCAATAACAACTAAAGGATTGTAATCTCATGGCGTACAGCTCGCAAATTGTGCGGACTTTAATATCTTGTGGAGTGCTCATCCCCTCCCCCTTTGTCCATGGGACAGTGGTGTAACAACACAGCATAAGAACAGACTATATAAAACAATTGAAAAAGATTTGACACATCAGATCAGTTCTAAGCACAAACACAAACACAAACAACTAAAAGACAAATGACCAAAAATTAAAAATATAATCAATTTGAGTATAGATAAAGGCAGGATTTTTACCTTTAGATTTGTTCACAGTGTTAAATTGATCACCGTTAATAGTAAGTTCATGCAAAGGACCAGCAAGGTTACTTGGATCTTATCTTAATTTATCTTCAAATATGTGTCCTTTCCTCACACATGTACCCTATTCTATATTACATCATAGATATCACAAAAAGATGCCCTTTTTTTCAAACATGTTTCCGTTTTATCAAGGTATGCACGGTCCTATGTTTTTAAGTCATAACGTCTTCGAGGAAAAATGTTGTTGTTAGAGACATGAATACGACTTTCATGTTCGAATAAAATCGACATCTGTTAAGGCCATTGAAAAGTTAATGTTAATCTATGTACATAATACGACAGAGGAGTTAGAAATGGCTAAGGGAACATGTGAATGAGAATAGGGAAGCGGGAGTCAAGAGGCGAGAACCAGGGGAAGAGAGGACGGAAACCGGAAGAAGAGGGACTTAGTTTCTTGCATTTAAGAGTAAAAAACTTATACTTCTTTATCTTTTAGTCATTAGATAGCGTATTTATCAGGTTTGTTTTAATTATTTTTAAATCAAGAAATTATTTTAATAGTGAAGACAATCAAAATGTTTATTTTTTCTCTCTCTGCATAGACACATTAGTCATAAACTCTCTTTTTGGGAGAGGGACCGTTAAATAAGAAAAAAAAAGTTAAAAAAAAAAACGTGTTAACGGATTTAAATAAACAAAGACTATTATGAGGTCACGGGACACAGATCTGAGGAAATGACTTGGTGGCTGGTCAAATGGTCACAGTTTTTAGTGTTATGACGTCGCGGTCAACAGATCTGAGTAAAGGACACAGATTTGAGAACGGACATAGATTTTACTCTTTCATATGTTAACAGCACAACCGTAAAACTGGATGTGATATCCTATTTTTAATAAGATATAGGTAATAATTTATTAAAATTTTCACAAATTTGTGAAAACAAATCCCTAACTTGATAATATAACAGTCATACATAGATAGCGTGAAATATAAAACCTCGCTACAGACACGGATAGAAAGTTGAAAATATACAAACCATAAAAGTTACCAAAGCACCGTCACATGAGATCATCCGAAGTTTTGGTGGGGTTTATAATTATCCGTAAGGAAAAGACAAATCAAGGTAAGAAACAAAAATCTGGTGAAACACACGAAGTGAAAAAGGGTGCGTCGACAGGGTAAGCGTTTCCTAATAATATATGTGTTTACACATTGATATATTTATGCATGTTTCGACATAATGTTTTAGGCAACAGATATCTGAATCAAATAACCATGAATGGCAGGTATGAACTGAGAATTGATTTTGTTGACGCAAAAAACAGTAAGACGTATGCGATGTTCAACATGTTCTTTGTTGGGGATGCTAAATCGAAATATAGATTAACTATTAGTGGTGAAAGTGGAACCGCAGGTAAATTACTTTTAATTTTTTTATTCTTAAATTGATTACAGACATAATTCTTTTGTGCAGTATTTTGCTGATATATACACGGACAGAGAATGATGTAAAAGGTGAATTTTCGGTCTCTTTTAATCGACATAAAAATACAAAAAGAGTATTATATGACATCCTTTATGTCATAATGCATAAACTGTTAAAATAGCCTCTTTTTGACATCATGTCTTTAATATGTTAAATATGAGCCACATCGTTCCTTACCAAAAAAAAATTGCAGTTCAAATTTGTATACAAATATATTAATGTGGGTAAAGATCTTTTTGGATAAGGCTATGATTCATATTTCATTTTGATTAACACTTTGTGTAACAGGGTCATTCTAGGTAAAATATGATAACCTCGATTTTTTTCTTACACCACACCTGAGATATCTGCACGAAGATACTTATCTATTATCGCCCTCTTCATTATGATCAATTAATTGAATATAGTTTTGAAATAACTGAACAGTAATACTTCTGTTTTAAAATTATATATTTGTATGTGTCTGAGTTTAATCATATACTGTGAAATCTCTTGTTGCTACTGACAGTAAACCGGTGATATTAAAACAGTATATGAGATATATCTGATATGTTTAATAATTTCAGGACGTTTTAATAACATGAATAACGGAATGAAATTCAGTACAAAAGATCAAGATAATGATATGTGGAGTTCAAATTGTGCTGCGTATCATGGAGCATGGTGGTACTATAATTGTGGTTATTCAGAATTAAATGCTAGCTTGAAATCAAAACAAAAGTTGAGATGGGGTAATCGAAGCTATAATCAGTCGACCATGATGATTAGAAAAATCTATTGAATAACTTTCAAAATAAAAACATATAGTACAATTGTTAGTTTGTATCACTCACAGATACTCACAGATCCTCTTCCTAAAATACATACCCACGAGAAACCTCTTCTATCAGTTGCTCATCTGAACTACTTACAAATGTATATATAATTATGTTGTGTTCGGTAAAAATTACATGGTTATAGTCCGAAATATATTTTTGTGTGTTGGAGTTCCTAGATCATATCCAGGGTATCTAGTTCTCCTTCAAAATGGTATGATAGTTGGTACGATTACAACTTGGGATGGTAAGCTCTTCCAGAGTTCAACAGTTCTTTGTGTAAATGAGTAGTTACTTACACCAAGTCTTAAATGTGTCTTGTAGATCTTTTTTTATGACCTCTTGTTGTTTAGTCGATCTTAATTACATTAACGGTACCAATTGCATTGCACCAGATACGCATTTCGGCGATTAATGCTGAGTCGGTCTGAAGCAGTAGGATACATTTGCATCATATTTAACGGTAATCATTGTATAAAGCTCAATCATATCTCGCCGTGGACATGGCTTGTCCAGTTGGGGTTATTTTGTCTGAATTCTCAATGTTTTTTTATCATTAATATGCTAGGAAAGTGTTTTATTAATTCACAAACGTTATAATTAAGGGACATCGATCAAAATTGGGATAAGGTGGACAGTATAGATTCACATATTCTATTATTGTTTGCTTTTTACATACCTTATTTTGTTAATGAAAGTAAAGATTTTATATAGGTGAAATATTAAACGAACACCGAATGCTCTTCCTAATTATCATAAGGAACTTCCTATGTTGATTAGAAGCTCTCAGGAAGAATTATAACTTCATTTATAGCCTATAATTTATATCAAAAATAGCCTTATCAACTTTCCACGATGTAATGATGTTACGTGTTTCGAAAAAGAACCACTGCGGTCGATAATTGAGACCTCATGTGGTATACACTGATATGACTACAGGATACATAAATTTGATGGGTGCTTTTTTTTTTTTTTCTCTTAGAAAGTTTTGACGAATTGAGATAAGTTTATATAACCAAAAGCACATTTTTTGTCTTTGAACTAGTATTTTGAAAAAAGTCTGTATGAATTGGACCCTGACATCAAGGTTATTTCTCGACATTAAACGAGGTCAAAGTTGTGTTTTCTTTATTTTGTGTCCTTTTATTTCGTTTAGGGGCCAGCTGAAGCCCGACTCCGGGTACCGGATTTTCTCGCTGTGTTGAAGACCCATTGGTGGCTTTGGGCTGTTTTCTACTCTTTGGTCGGATTGCTGTCTCTTTGACACATTCCCTATTTCCATTCTAACTTTTACAAAAAAAAAACCCACAATAGTACTTCAGAAAATCTTTTCATCAATAAAAAACTAAATAATTTAAATGAAACATTTAAACTTAAGTGATATGAATGTCGTAAATAAAGACAGCAGTATTAATTCCCATATTCAAATCTCATAAATCGATCATGAATACAAATCATGGTAACAAACAAACACTGAAGGAATATCATGAACTCCAACAGGAGAAAGATTGGGTGCATTTATAGATTAAGTGTGTCCTGCTATTCATGTGTCACCCGTCATGCCAATTCACACTCAGTCAAAATGTCACAATCCAGAAGAGGACACGATCGGTAAAATTATAAAACACTATACTGGCATCTTAATATTTAAGACTGCGGAAATGTGTCGCTTGTGAGTCGAGACCAGAAATTTCATATCGGTCAACCAATTCGTAATGGTGACCGTAATATATATGTAGTGTCTACTTCAGTCGTTCTTCTTCGTAACTTCTTCGTAACTATGTTGAGGTTAATCACTATTCGGTTAAAAAAACACGCTTTATTCTAATGTGTAGTTCGCTAAATATTTTTTTTTTTCACATTTTTAGGAGTTGTAGTAAACAAAAAATGATTCAAACTATAATCATATTTGTGAGGTTATCATGGATGTGTTTTTATTTATACATGTGTATGTTATAAACCCCCTGAGGGGTTCACGCCTATATATTAGTGAGTTTTGGAAGCTTCTATAGACCATTCGATATCCTAAGAAATAAGATTCGCGGAACGTCTCGAACATTTTCGAACATTTATACAAACAGTTATCTATGTCTTTGATACGGTTCCTCTATTGATATGTTTCCACGTGACATTGTATTAATATTTCATCAATCAAACTAAAGTTCATTTGTAGATCAGAAAGTCCAATTAAAGAATAAATTGCAGTAAGAACGCCATTTAAATATTTCAACCTATTTGCTTTTAACAGAAAATATGCGTTTTTATTTGAAAGTACTAAATATGAAGTATAATGATAATACAATTATATATTTTATGTTATGAGACGGTCCTTGTACGCGTTGTTTGTGTAGTATCTAATACAAAGTGTCATTGTGCATTTGACAATAAACATTCGAATAATATACTGACATCAAATTATGTCCCAGAATAAAATGATTATTTCTGAACGTTTAACATGTCATATTTGTAATTCCATCATATATATCTATAGCCTAAGTAAATGTCGGAAAGCAAGAAGAAAAATGAACAAAACGATCTTACTGTTAACAATATTTATCTTAGGTCTGAAAACAGAAAAATTACTACGTATACGTTACTAATTGTATACTGTTTTATAAGTCTCTGCTTATGTTTTGTAGAGAAATAAAATAGAAAGTTTAGACTTGAAGAAGAGATTGATTTGATAAAACAAATTGCCATTAGTAAAAACATACATTTGTGTTTATTGATAGTATATTTTAAATTTCTGGACAAGATTTATTAACAGCTAGGAATGTATATTAACCAAATCTTAATTCTTATTTTTTTGTTTTTTGTTTGTTTTTTGCTTTTAATAGTTAAACCTTATAGCATCTAAATCCTTGCAATGATTGTGCGATTTTGAAAATTGTATGCATTGTGTTGACCAGCTACCCTACAAACGTCTTCCCGTATATTTACATATTACTATTATTATAACATCATGTTCACACGACACAGCAAAAAGCAAAATCGGATTTAAAATATGGCTTCACAACAATATTGGTTTGCGTTGACACAAATTCCGGATTGAATGGCAATTGATCCGTAGTCAAACCACTTGAGGTAGGCAGTTTGACATCCAAATTCAACTTACATTAGATTTGAACCTAGAATATCAGCGCGTATGCTGGCTATTTACTATTTCATGTGCAAGAAAACTACGTGAATGCGTAAACATTGATTTCACTCATGGTAGGTGATTTTTTGCATTTCTTATTATCTAAATCTAGGACACGACAGTAAGAGCTTGACGTGATTTTGAAGCATGCTCATCATTGAGGTACTATGACATATTCGTGTTTCCTCCTGGCCGGTTGACAGGTTTCGACTTGACACAAAACAATTAAAAAAAAAAGATACGGGCTTTCGTTAAATTGTGATTGCATTACATTCGATGACTGGATTTAGTTAGGAAGATATGGTTGCCTAACTTGACTTCTTAAAAAAATATCATATGTATTTAACGTTTTGTAACTTGCCGGCCAGTATAGAAAGCTCACGTAGAAATTTTGATTATATGCATAAGCTAAAAGTATGTGATATATTAGATCAGAAGATACCTGGCATTACCAGAACAGGATAGTTGATTTAAAATTTCATGAAATACAAAATGATAACTGTCTATAAAAAGCAAATAAGTGAAAGCCAAAAATGTAGTATCCAGGCACTTTAAAAAAGCATTCGGCTACAAATCTCTGGGAAATATATCAGGATGATCGCGTTAATATTCAAGAATATTTAACAGTCGGTTTTGTCAAATTTTCCCAATTAAACTTGCCTTTCACAAAAATCTTCGATCTAAAATAGATCGTAACTATTCAATATACAAAAAGTATGGATACTGGATTTTCCAGTTGCCCTTCCATACCACCAAAGGATATAAGTGCACTCCCCTCTCGAGCGTGGACTTGACAAATGGAAAACAAAATATATAACAAAGTTGAAGTTCAAAGTTAATTCAAAGTTGTAGTTCAAACTTAATCCATATTTGAAGTTCACAAAAATAAAGTTCAAAATAAATCCAAGGTTGAAGTTCACAAAATTAATATTTTAGATTCCAGGCTTATAACTTTCAATACCAGATACGTGTTGACTAATTAAACAGTTGGAAACCCAAATCAAAACAGATGTTGAAAATCAATGAGAACCAAGAAATTCAAACATTTGTTCCAAATTTAAACGCTACCAGTAGTTGTGATAAACACAAAATAATGTATGTTGCTGTTCCGATTTTGTCTAGCTTTAAGGACACATTTTCAAATGAGTTTGATAAAAACAAAAACTTGTGTGTTAGACGGATTTAGAATATCAATAATTGATAGCATTGTGTGCTCTAAAGTAATGTGTTATAGTATATTAACTATACTCATTCGTAACTGCATGGAAGACAATATTTCGAATAAGGGACCCTTATTAATATCATCCCATGAGTAGGATAATACAAAACGCATAGAAGACATCAACAAAATAGATGATTTTTTCGATATAAAAAGGAGTTAATAATATCATATGAACCATAACTTTCAGTATTTGCTGACCATGCACCAGAAACAGTATCATATTTGATATGTAATTAAGGCACTCTTGTTTCTTCAATCAATAAAACTGCTATAATAAAAAGTTTATAAGGTATGAAATATGTGCAAATAGTGCTACTACTGAGGTACCGAAAATACGTATTTTCAAGGGTTTTGTCTGGGTTTTTCGACTGTAATAAAAAAAAAATATTTGTAAATAACGAAGAGAAACAAGATTTTTTTCGCCTAGTTTTCATAGAAAACAAACTAGTTTTTTTCTCTTCCGGCTTCGATATATATACCTATGCAAAGGGAGAACAGGAACTACCAACCATTTTGAACAATTTCAACATTCAAACTTCAGCGTCGATTTCAACTTACAGTTTGAGCTAATTTTGAGTTGTAAATTGCAATTAAGAAATACTTGTGAGACAAAAAAAAGAAAGAAAAAAAAATAACAC